CAGGACTGTAAATCCACAGATTTTAAGATTCTGATTTATCCATCTTTCCGAGCGGCGGAATAAAACAAAAGCAAACATCGGGAGGAGGATCTACAATATATCAAAGAGCATACTTTTAGATGGAATCTGTTAAGTGGTGTGTGTGTGTGTGTGTGTGTGTGTGTGTGTGTGTGTGTGTGTGTGTGTGTGTGTGTGTGGGTGTGTGTGTTCTAGCATTACTATACTTGTGGGGACCTACATCTGTTTACATAGTCACGTTGTGGGGACTGGTTTCCCTTATGGGGACAAATTGGAGGTCCCCATGAGGGGAATCATTCATTTTAGGGTGAAGACTTGGTTAGGTTTAGGATTAGGGTTAGGGTAAGGTTAAGGGTAAGGGTTATGGTTAGGCATGTGTTGGTTATGGTTAAGGTTAGGATAAGTCTCCAGGAAATGCATGTAAGTCAATGTAATGTCCCCTGAAGTGATGTATACATGGTGTGTGTGTGTGTGTGTGTGTGTGTGTGTGTGTGTGTGTGTGTGTGTGTGTGTGTGTGTGTGTGTGTGTGTGTGTGTGTGTGTGTGTGTGTGTGTGTGTGTGTGTGTGTGTGTTGGATTCTCCGGCATGTGAAAGAGATTGAGTTTCATAAGGAGATCTGATCGTTAATTCACCTGTTTATCTCGATGCAGAGCTCTGGACTTAATTATATATGATTCTATAAGACACCTTTTATCTCCTTCTCCCCCATCTTCACCCCAACCCTCATCCTCATGCCAAATACTTTCCAGTCAAAAAACACCCAATTCTGCTGGTTATCAGTCTAATGCATCACTCCCGTTTTCTCACGTTAGCAGAGCTGCAGCTAATCCATGTTTATCTGCACACGCTGTTAAAAGTGTTACAGTTGCTTTTGAAACAGTTTGTCATATTTACTTCTGCTAAACAAGACATTACTTTGATTCAGAGCATCAGGAGGAAGTGTTGATGCTCTGCAGCTGCTGCACATTTAATGGACCGAGAAGAAGGGCCGTGCCAGGTCTGGTTTCAGACTGCACTCAGTTTATTTTGGCCCCTGGTCAGGATCCAGAGTCCCACTCTCTTCGCTGTGCATTGTTTTGACTGATCCTCGCTCAGCAAGAAAGGGTATGTGTCACATTGTATTACAGCTGCAAAAACATTTATTTGGCAAATATTTGATGGCATTAAATGTTTGTTTTCCCGTAGTTTATGTGTAAGGCCATCGCTGCACCTTTAGTAACTTACAAGCCTACAGTGCCACCTTGTGGTAGAACTCCAACGTTTTATTACACCTTTCAAACACCTAGAGAGATGTGTTATAAACAATTGCACATTATTTGAATAACAGTTTGGGAAGACAATCATCTACCAGACAACGATACCTTATTAACTTATTATTTAAGAAAAGTGTACCAGAAAATACCTCTAGTTACACACAGTATGCTGCAGAGCGGATCATACATTAGGCTATATACATATATATTTATGGTTTCTTTTTTTCGCAATTGTTTTAATGAGAATGTTTCAGGCTATGCTGTATGCAAAAGCACAAAAGGTCATCCACACGTAAAAAGACAAAATATTATCTTCTGAAGCTGAAACCATAAACATGGACATGGATCGTTCTTGCATAGCCAGCCTGCTCCATTCGGGGGAGGAAGGGATGTTTTTGTTGTGATTGAAATAAATAAATAAAACTTAAAAGTATAAATCCATGAATGATATTTTGTAACGATCTGTCAGTGTTTCCTGTTTTATTTTGAAAAGTGTCCCCCAAGCTTTGCCAAACCTTCAACTTAAACAATTGATCAAGTATGAATTATTCTGCTCTCATGGAGCTCAAATATCATCTCCAGGTTTAAATGTTATTTTCTTCATCAACTCAAATGAAACTCTCTGTCTGATATATTTGGTTCTGCTGCACCCTCAGGTGGTGGACGAGTGCCACCACACACTGATGGAGGGCTTCTCTAAACAGGGACCATTAGTTTGTGACCTAGTTTAAAAACGGACAATACAAGTGGGCTGAATGTCAGCGTTCCATTCTCTACGAGATAATCTAATCTTTACAATAGGATCTGTAAAGTACATGCGGTCTTGGTCACATTAGGGATCCAGAGAAATTGTTGATGTACATGTTGTTACTAAACTAAAAAATGATTTTAATTTGATTTATTTGTATGTATATGTAATAAGATAAAAATGAATTATCCTTGGGACTTATATTGGCAACATGTGTAAAATATCATTTAACTAGAATGATCATTGAACTGGAATACAGTGGCAAGAAAAGTGATGCAGATGCTTGGTAGACACAGACCTTCGTGCGGAGATGGAGGTTCTTGTTTTGAAAGACCCTATGCCGGAGTCTCCCAAAAGCAGCTGATGCCTGCTTTATCCTGTTTTGGACCTCATTGTCGATGGTGTTGTCTTCAGAGAGAATGCTCCCCAGGTATCTGAAGGATGGTACAACAGACAGTTGTTCACCAGCAGCAGTGAAGGTAGGTGGTGTAGATGGGATGTTGGCACTCCACTGGCAAACTACTTCCGTCTTGATGGTGTTGACGGTCAGTCCCATCCTGCTGTACGCTCTCACCGCAGCAGTAAGAACAGACTGGAGGTCTTGTGGACTGTGAAATACAAGAGCACAGTCGTCTGCATACTGTAGCTCAATGACTCTCTCCCTTTGCAGTTTGGTGGTTGCCTGGAGCCTCCTTATGTTGAAGAGGTTGCCATCTAGACGAAAGTCCACTGCCACACCGCTACTGTCCTCAATCTCCTTGTGGAGAAGCTGGGTGACACATAGCAGGAAGATGTTAAAAAGTACTGGTGCTAATACACACCCCTGCCTTACCCCTGTATATACAGGGAAGGGGGAAGACTCTTGTCCTCCTATAGTCACCCGAGCAGTCATTCCATCATGAAATTGGCGGAGGATGTTGACAAACTTTTTGGGGCAGCCAAACCTGATAAGGACTTCCCAGAAAAGTTCTCTCTGGACAGTGTCGAAAGGCTTTGGAGAGATCGACAAAGGCCATGAACAGGTCCTGATGTTGAGTCCAGGTACTTCACCATGGTCAGAGGTGGATACCTGCGCAAGGAAGTTTTTAAGTGCCATAGGGGGGGCGCACTTCCCAGTAGCATTATCTTCACCACGATGAGATAAACCCGGTGGCGTGGGTGACCCATGATGACCAGTCCCCCATCCTGGCTGCAGGAGGCTGCCGGGTCCTTGGTTTTTTAAGGCCCGCCTATAGCGCACCGCCAGCGCATTGCTTTTCTGTCAGGGTGTGCTCCCTTAGCCTTAGCCTAAATAGGCTTACCCACAAGGCAGCGGGGCTATTTACCCATAGTTGGGGCAGGGGTTGACGGGCGTCAGGGCATATCCACACGACGGTGGGCCTATATGCCGCGTCTCTGGGGCCCCCTGCTGCTCCGAGATCCCCTCCAGTTTAGCCTGGGTCCGCAAGGACCCAGTTACCATGTGTGGCCACGGGGAGGCACTGCAGGAGTCTTGGTGGTGGAGAGGCTGTGTACCAGCAGGAGGAGACTTACATACTCGGCTGCTCTTTTCACCCACCAAGGGGGGCTAGCTGGCGGCGGCAGCTGTAAGCAGAGAGTAGCAAGCAGAAAGCGGCATGCAACATGCACTCAGGGCTCGACATTAACGACTGCCCGATGGCCCGGGGCCATCTAGTATTTAGCTCGGGCAATGAAGCCTCACCTGCTGGTTGCCCAATCGGGCAATCTATTATGCCAGTATCATGCAGCTCGCGGATCCAGTCATGAGTGACCCGACAGTAAAACTAAACATATCTATAACTAGTTTAGGTAGTTTGAGAGGTCATTAAAATAGCTACGTGTGATATTCTAACCTGAAGTGTGTGTTTTGTCCGCTCACCGCTGCATGTGATCATGCAGAGCTGCGTGTCCACTCGTCAGCCTGCTCAGCTGATCTCTCTCTCCCGTCAGATTAGACTTCACTCGCGTTTATGTCCATATCGATCAGATCCAGCTAGTTCTAGCTAATGATATTACTACCTGCTTATTAAAAGACACCTACACAATAAGTGTCGCTATGCAACTGGGTGAGGTCACAAAGTATAGCGCAGCATTATGCATTTGTTTACATGCCCACCGGAACCCCGAGGCATTACCAACAGATCAACGCACAATCAACCCACAAAGGACATCTCTTTCTCCACAGTGTTAGACATTAGAATTGACTATTCTCGTCTGTCACATACTCTTTTTGTCTGTCACATAAGTGGCGCAACTGAAGCGGTATTGTGCTATAGGGAAATAATTTTGACCGAAGAGATTTGCCGGCTAATGGGAACTATGACGTCGCCATTTTGTGTGCTTCGCGGATGCGCTCGGCTCCTCTCGACTGCTGCTCGGGTCTGCTCGGTCAGCTTCCGGATGAGGAGGCATTCGTTCGACCAATTTACAGTAGATAACATTACAAACATTTTAACAGGGTTCATACTAGTGTAAATAATGTTTGTTTTGGCATTAATAACTGAATGTAATGTTTTCTACTTTTTTACATCTGGGAAGGCATCTGCCTTCATCAGATGGAAAGTGTCTTGACCAACAACTTAAGTGTTTCTTAGCTATGCAGGGCATGCAAGCGAGCAAACACAAACAAGAACAAACAAACAAGTGAAATGAAGAATACAATTGAAATTGTACAATATAATATTGTGGTGGTTCATCTTATAATTCAGTCTAGAGAATGCCCCAGACAGCATCTAAGACCTGCAAAAATCTAAATTTTCTAGGGGGACGGAGGCCCCCCAAACCCTTCGTGCCATTTCGTCCGCGCGCATTTTTCAGGGCAATCTCTATTGGGCTCAGGGCCATCTGTAAATTAGCTTAGATGGCCCACAGGGCCAAAATCCTTAATGTCATACTGCACATAACGGAGACATTTAAATGCTGCTAAAATATGTACCCTAGATTCCCCTGTTTTAATCAAGTATATCCAGGTTTTAACCTCAATGTATAGACTTCTTTATAACTATACATCTCTCAGTTTAAACAGGTGTTTGGTCTTAAAGTACATGTTCTTCTCAGTGCAGTTTGCAGCTTCAGTCCCACTGTGTTTCAGTAGATGTAACCTCCTCCGGTTACTCCAAGGTGCCGATGTCATCGTAGTCATCATCAGATGAGAGGATTTGGTCGGGGCTCACAGGGGAGTAGATGGGGCCGTCTCCTTCCTCATCTAATGATCAGACAATAAAAAAGATCAGCACATCACATGTTGTAGATCTTGTTTCTCCACATGGGTAACATCCGGTGACATTCACCTGATCTCTGCAGGTTTGCTGTTTGCCCCGGGTGAAGATGATCTTTGTTGAAGTCGAGCCGTGCAGGTTCCAAAGCATCGCTGACACCAGACGACTGACCCGGCTCTGGTTCTGCAATGTGTAACAGCACAGGGGATACAATTAGATCTAGATGTGAGGCAGTTTCAGCTTGGCTCTAGACTTTATACGAGACGATAATACTTTAATGGTCAGATCAAGTCTGAAATGTGACTTGCATCACAGCAGCTCCATGTGCAACATCAACATGGACAAATATCAAGACACAATACATGACAAAAAAATACATTTAACATAACATCACAATCACTGAGAGAAAACATGCTCAAAGAGCCTTCAGCGTGCATTTGATCTGGGATCAGCTCTGTATTTACTGAGAGGATCGACTGGAGCACTAAGGAGTGCTTCAGTCTGACTTCATTGAATCGTGGGACCCTGTATCTCCGATTAAATGACTTTGTTTTTAACACCCCCAGATTTAGTTAAGTTACAGTACAAAAAGTGTAAATGAATCTTGTAGTAGAAAAAAGCTAAACCCTCTCCAGAGATAGTATTATTTGTCTTGAATAAAAAAGAGCTGCAATATCCTTTCCCAATATTCCAAAATGATATGAAGGTCACATTTATTTCCAGTAGTATATCCCATCTTGACCAATAACGAGACCCCTCTGTAGCAGTTTTCCATTTGTCCACCAGATGTCCTCAGCCACTCACCAGTCACACACCTGTTCCTTCCTCTCCCCCTGATGAGACCCTTTCTCTCCCTGGCCCAGTTCCAAACTGACCCCTACATGTCTGTGGTCTCACTCTCAGATGAAAGCGGCTCCTTTAAGGTGTTGGTGTAAATACAGCAGCAAGTTTTGGGACAAACTCCAGCAAAAAAAGGAACTGTTGTAACTTGTTGAAACAGTACAAAAATATTAAAACATATTCAATTATAAGTTTTTAATTTGATGTTTATGAGCTGCTTGGTTTTTGCAACAGTCCCTGTAAATAGACCACACATGACAATAAAAGGCACATGTATACAGTTTCTAGACTAGGCAGGGTTATATATGATCATAAGTAAAAGCATCAAAATATAGTGTAACCTTAAGTTGTTAAATCTGTTTGAAAATAGGAAATGTCTATCTTATTTTGCGCACTTAATGAGTAAGTGGTCTACGTCCCCATCAACCAATCACCCACCTGGTTTCTATTGCCACAATTTTCATCATAGTTGCAAAGCTTGCTTACCTACCTGTGCTAATTCAATTTCGACTCCCCGCCTGTAGGCTATTCAAAAGAAATCACTGAATTCATCTTACTGCCTTTAACCATTGGAATTTACACAAAATCCCGGTTGACCACCTCTATAATGACAGTGCTCATTTCACCAATAATTACTAAACCTGACTAAAAGAGAAAGGAGTTTATGATGGGAGATAATCATTTAAATCTTAAAGGAATACTGTAGTTAATTCCCTCTCATGATTAACAATTTTCTTTGGAGGAAGCTTAAGAAACATTTGAAAGGAAGCAGGTGAATGAATAGGACTGACCGGGGGGGAGGGTGATGTAGTTGTTGCTGGTGTTCTCGTAGCACTCCCCTGAGGAGGTGCTGGACGTATCAAACGAGTCCACTGAGATTATCTTCGACACTCTGGCGTACGGAGCGTCTGCGTCGCCGATACAGCCTGAAAACGTTCCCATCACTTCTTCTGAGGGTTCAGGGGCAGGGGAGTTAAATCAGGAGAATAACATTGAAGACAATGAATAATAAGGATAACTCATTATAGAATAACCGAGAGAATAATCAACAGCTATAAACATGCTTTTTATATATATTTTTTAAATAATATAATAATAATTAAATAATGTTAATAATTGTTTGTAATGTTTGGACAGAAAGTTTAGTGTGTTGCTATGCTATTGTACATGCGTTACCATGATGCTTCAGGCTCATTGAGAGTGTGTACAAAATAAGTAATTATTATTTGAAGTATTTTATTGTATTATTTTGTTGAACACTGCTAAAAGGTTTCAGTATGTAGCAGCAGTCATTTGAACACATGGTTAACTTCCTCAGCACAGAAATATTGACTTTTAGCATACTATAAACCGGAAAAGTACAAAAAACGATATAATGATGAACATATCGGAAAATTCTGTAAAACATAATGTGGCTTTTGGAGCTGAATCCTTTCAGTATGTGTTTTGGAAACAGCTACTTTTTATTTGAAAAAAATAATCTACTTATTTTAATCCAATTGCACATATTGTATGATGAGTACGACTGTATGTCTATGACCTTTTTTGTTTTTGTTGTTTTGTGTGTTTCTTTGGGAATATTTGAACACGTCATCATTCATTTATTATGAAAACCAAAATAAGCCTTTATAACTTCAAATATTTCCTTGATTTTATGTTTTCATGCTTGAGCCATCCTCTGATGATACCAAAAGTATACAGTGGAAATATTTTTCGTATATTTGAGATCTGCAAAGTGAAACTTCTTTGTTTCTGTGGCATCTTTGCAAACGTGACAGTGACTCACCTTCCTCAGAGAGGCTGTGGAGAGCTGCAGGCCTCATGAAAGGGTTCACTTCTGTACTGAACCTCTGAGAATCTGCAAACAAAATGAGAGCGCGTTCATCGAAAAACCATCACTGCAAACATTCGCTGCAAACAGCATTGATCTGCAAAGACCACACACACACACACACACACACACACACACACACACACACACACACACACACACACACACACACACACATACACACACACACACACACACACACACACACACACACACACAAAGGGCAGAGCTGCTTCAATCGCAAAATGCAGCAACATAGCAAGACACCATCTTAGGAGGCAAAGCCTGAGAAACACAGAGGAATAATTACAAATGTTAATAAAAGAACGTAGCTCACTCCGAAAGGTGGATAAAGGGACAGACGGGTCATTGCTTTGCTCATACTGCTCATAGTCTGTATCTACTGACGAGCTGTCAACACTACTATGCTGGGTCCACAGATACCTGGGATTGGAGGGGACTTTTGGGGGCAAACAAAACAAATGAAAAAAGACACAATGAGATGATTTTATGCGACTATCTCAACACCGTGTATGTATATAAACACATATATTAGTCAGGTATAAAGAAATAAAATACTAAATTGTATTAAATTGCAGGTTATTCTATTCTGCTTACACATGTAGGTTTAATCTATTTATCACTATATCTATTTATTTATTTACCTTTGTTCTGCAGTGGGTTGGGAGTGACCTTGACGAGGTCGACGGAGTCCTGGTAGCCGTTGTTATGATGTTCAGAGGGGATTCGGGGGTTGCTGCGTGTCTGCTGGAGCAAGAACGCTGTGGACACAATTACCAAATTATAAAGAGAATTATTTCACTCGTGCTTTGTGTAGGACTGTCGGAAGAGTCTACTGTCTAATAGTTAGAGGTATCAGTTTAATGGAAAGATGGGAGTATATTTGATCTTTTCATGACATGTAAAATGGAGAATGTGTTAATATGTAGTCTGTTGAGATAAATGATCCTTTCAGACATAATACTGGATATGGATTAATGATGCATTTCTTCCAAAGAATTATTAGGAATTATATTCCTCTCCCATATTTGACAACACGAGCAAATATGGTTGAAAACTATAAAACCATACTATACTGTTTACTAATTATAGCATTAAATTATAATGTTTGTTATCAATTTAAAGAAATTACTAATTGAATTAAAAAATATATATTCTCCGCTTCCGTCCTAAAGAAGGCAATGAAGGCAAAAACGTTTGTCACAAAAACATCATATCAGGAGAATTTTCCAAAACGTTTGCAAACCTGTTTTTCATTCACTTTAATCTTATAAAGAATGCCAGATATCAGAAACCAAAGCCACAATAATAAACATAACCAGAATAACATTTCAGTGATTTAGTTCAAAACTCCTGAAACATCTGTATTTTAGATTTAAGGTACTACAATCACAAATTGAATCTGGATGGCTGTGTCTGAGTGAGGAAGACCCACCGTGTCTCCTCCTGTAATGGCAGCACAGCACTGAGTTGGTAATGAGCACCACGAGGAGCAGGAGAGCCAGAGCCATGGTGCTGAGCAGCTCTGGAGACGGGAAGGAGAAGCCTTCTGTACGACTGACTGGGGTCACACCTTTTGGGATGTACAGAAAGAAAAGGAAGTTTAAATGAGCATACATTCTGATTGTTTAATGATAAATAATGTTCAGTGTTTGTTTGAGCACCATCCTGTGACTTTTAAAACATATATGTGTTTTTGAACTGAGATACACAACTCCATATTTACCAGTAGTCCAACTGGTCATTACAGTTGACCCAGCTGCTGTGGTGGCTTCAGCAAAACCCAGGGAACCTGCAGGACAACAAGATCCAATTTTTGTATTTCAACAACAACCATTTAACTGTTTTATCTACATAGGCAGAATGAGCTTTAAATGATTTGTATATTTATACAAGAATTACGTGAGGTTAATACTGTTAATATTGAACCGCAGAATTGGAACAAAATGTTTAAACATTTTTAAGGCTGTGTAAAGATTAGAAAACAGTTCTCTGAAAATTATCCAAAGTAAAATGATCTTTAGTCAATGAATAAAATACATATTTATAGCTGCTTTTGAGTCCTGTTTTGTACATTTTATATAAAGATACATGTAATTATGATGTACTCAGGTCTGGATTCTTTCTACAAAACCAATGTAAACCTATCTTATACTGATGTTGTTGGACATTAACAAACACTCACCCTTACAGATGACGCCAGAGGCTTTTGAGGAAATGCACAGGTGTGTTTTGTTGACGTACTCAATGCACTGCCACATATTCTGCAGGTTTTTTTGGCATGAATAGTACCACAGTGTCCCGTTGTTGTGGGCGAGAGGAGGAACAAACTGGGTGAATTTCTCTGGCTCAGTGCCACACTGAAGCATGGCGCACACCATGGAGGACATGTCTTTATTCCAGCAGTTATCACACAGCGTTCCCCAGCTGCCATTACGGTGGATCTCCACTTTACCAGAGCAGCGGTCCTGACCTCCAGTCAGACGGACTGCTCTCATCTCTGCACACAGAAAATATAAAATGTGAATCCATGTTGATTTAATTTTTCTCAGTGGACATTTCGGTACTCAATTCACTATTGAGGACCCTAAAGTCATATCCTTGATACTTCTTTGGGGATGTATTTTTTGTAATTATGATCAACAGTATTCTACACTGGGTACAGTACATTTAATATGTTTTGTGTAACCAAAATAAATGACTGGATTTTCTGGATTTCATATATTTAAAAAATATTTAATTACAAACATTGCCCCTCAACTTTGTAGATCTTCCCTTAAAAAAGCATTCTCCTGACGTTGGTGATCCTTCAACTTTTCTTTTAGCACCACCTATTCTTACCTTTTGCAGAATACATTTTATTTGGTTTGTAGTCACCACTAGCTTTTCATTTAACACCATCAACATATCAAGATTATACATTATTTTTGTATACACCATATTATAAACAATTAAATTACAAAAATGTTTCATGTGTATTTACATGTTTTAGTGCAGGGCTGCACATCATGTGTGTATTTCAGATTTGAGTGGAACTATCCGTCATGGATCATATTAAGTGAAAAGTGTATGTCATATCTGTGTACGCAAAAAAAGGTGTATATATATATATATATATATATATATATATATATACATGTAAATAGAGCTCTGTTGTTTTTTATATGTTTTAGTTGTTATTTGGTTTCATTTTCATTATCACGTGTGTATGGGGTTAATAAAGTTCCTATCTTATAAAATAGTTGGGTTTATGACCAAATACCTGCAAAAATCCCTTAAACCGCACATGTGAGAAAATCATGTAGACCACATGTGTTGATCAATTAGCAAAGGTTAGCATTTATGTGTAGCCTACCTGCTAAATGCTGTTGTTAGCATTTAGCTCAGAGAACGTTCAATCATACATCAAGTATGTGAGTAACACCTACGTCACTTCCGGGGAAAAAAATACGGCCCCGCCCACTTTTTGGGGAAAACAACGCTTTCATTTGAATGGCGGTCAATACAAATTCTGAAGTTGTTGCCAATCCGATCAGAAATTTAAGAAAACCGTGGATTTTTGGATCTTCAAAGAGCCCGATTACGATGGCCAGTCAGGCAAACAATTACATTAAATCATTGGAAATCGACGATCGGGCTAGATATATGGTTAAATTAAAATCAGTAGGCAAGGCCGTAATTTTGCCAGCTGATTACTCTCATGAGCGAGGAGGAACATAATTGTTTTATCATGCCAAAAAGCTGCTGTGTCGTTTATTGCACCTCAAACATTAAAACAAATCCAGAGTTATGTTTTTCTGTACTTCCTCTAAGAATAAAGGACAGTAACAGAAGAGCTCTGTGGCTTCAGGCTCGATTGCCATTCAAATGACAGCGTTGTTTCCCCCAAAAGTGGGCGGGGCCGTAAAGGGACGTAATTGTTACTCTCATCTATGGACATCAATCGCCTACTTCTATATTTAACCATATATCGAACCCGATCATCGATTTCCAATGATTTAATGTAATTGTTTGCCTGTCTGGCCATCGTAATCGGGCTCTTTGAAGATCCAAAAATCCACGGTTTTCTTACATTTCTGATCTGATTGGCAAAAACTTCAGAATTTGTATTGACCGCTATTCAAATGACAGCTTTGTTTCGACCAAAAGTGGGAGGAGCCGTCATTTTTGCCCAGAAGTGACACATGTGTTACTGGCTTTGTTGTGCTTTTTTTCACTTTTACAACAATAAACAAAAAAATATGCCATAGAAAGGTAGTTACAAAATATATACATATCCAACCGACTGGAGTTTTCAACCCCTCCATGATGTACTGTAAGCGAATTGTGAGATCAATTGTTTTAACGCTTATAGATACGTTTCAGTTTTGTGTAAGTTTGAACAATTATTGAAGTGTACCTGAGCATACGACCCCAGCGTCCTCTTTGTGTCCGCAGTCCGACTCTTCCTGTGAGGCCGGACAGTCCCACAGGCTCTCCTCTCGGCTGGTGCAGTTCAGCTCGTCCCGGTGGACGGGTCCTCTGCCTGGAGGGAAGGAGCCGCCCTGTCCCGTCACACTGACCGCGTATCCGCAGCCGAGCTGAGCACACACCACGTCGGCATCACGCAGGTCCCACTGGTCATCACACACGGTGCCCCACTCTCCATTTCTCCACAGCTCCACCCGCCCTGCACAGCGACCTGAGCCCCCGGCCAGCCGCACAGCCCGGTGGCCTGGAAGACATGGATGTTTTATGATGAAGAGCAGTGACAGCCTGGGAAATACTTTTATGGCAGTTTTTGATAATAAATAGATGTATTAAACAATAGAAAAGAGACGCTCGTGATGAATTACAATAACATTTCTGACTGAATTGATAACCAAGGGCTGGCCTCTGGTTTCTAGACTAATTGCTGGTAAAAAAACTCCCAAGATATTTAACCTTATTCTGTGTGTTGACATTTACGACCATCCCTGCTTCTAATCTCCCGTAAGGAATGTATTAATGCAGTCGTATGTTGATACTAGGTTTTATGGCCTGACCTGGTGGGCACAGGGGGGGTTTTACGACTGTGAGAACGCTGGCTTTCTAAGATCCACAGATGTGAGAGACATCTCCTGTGTCTGCAGATGTTTACGCCTCCCCCAATATGCTGATTAACTCTCTGTAAACTAGTTAAAAGGTCTATCGAGAGATAGGCGGATCAGAATTGACATGACAACCCACCCGTGCAGTCAGAACCTTTTGCTGCTGTGACTTGTGATATGAATTCTCCGGCTGTTGACTTGTAATAAACATCATTGTTTGACATCAAAGCTCCAACTCTCCTCGTGTCTCTCTGAGTCCTGACTCTCCATTGCTGAAGAAGTTTCCCTTACATATATTATTTAAAGAATTTAAAGTGTTATGTGTGTAGGGGCATCATGTCATGTAAGGAAGTAGTTATTTACTTATTGTACTTTAGTAAAACATACTACGCAAAAACTCAAACAGTAGTAGCATCAAAATATAGGGTTAGTGTACCAAAAATAAAAGTTATTTCGGAAGAATTGCACATTGCATAATAATAAGTTTCTTTGTTTTCTTAAAAAATTCAAAATAAGTCAAAAAAATAATGAAAGATGCCTACTAAGCAGAATTATAAAGCAAATGCAGCAATAGTGTATTTGAAAATGAAAGTAAAAGCAGGACAATTATTTACATATCAATCCTATTATCAGTGCAAGAAAAATAAAAACCTCACCACAGACAGCTTCAGTGAGCACAGAGCAGTTACCTCCCTCACTCTGTGAACAGGTTTGCAAAAGACCATCTCGGTACAAACAGTCGTGGAAGCAGGTGGCATTGGGAGGGGAGCTGGTTTTATTCACTTGAAAGATGCTGCCACAGTCCAGATCCTTACACATCTGTTCAGCCAGCTCATCCAAAGAGTCTGCTGGTAAAGCCACCACATCACTGCTCCTGTTTCCACCCATCCTCAGTGTGAAGCTGCAGTTACCAGAGAGTCTGTGAATGTAAGGGTCACCTGAGGGGCCGCAGACACAGAAGCACAAATTAGTCAAAGTGAGAGCAACCATTTGTTGTTCTCTTACTCTGGTCAGTTTCTTATAGTCATTCCTTCCCTGTCTGTGTTCTACTGAAGTATCCTTCAAAATGATGTCACAAATATAAAGTTTCTTCTTTTAAAAAGCTTAGTTATTATTTCCCAGAAACAGCTGGGCAGCTTCTAGAACATGTTACTAAAACAGGAGGAAGTGGGGCTTTGTTTGGGAGTATTTTAACAGCAGATGAATAGATTGAATAGAATATCTGGGTGGGTCTCTAGTGAGTAGAAACAGAGGAAACAAATGTTTATATTTTTGCAAGTGGATCAGAGCATTGTGGGTGAAGGATGAAAGGTGAGCACATCATTAAAAAGTGCCAGGCGTAATCTTCCACCTAGCCCTCTTTTATCCGATATATACAATTTGCTTTTGACTACATTTAAATATACTCTTACTTATTAACTAACTAGCTAACTAACTAACACACTAACTCCTGCTGCAAAAAGCATCATTTGATCATTTCCTGAGCTACTGTCTAATCGAATTCTGCGTTCTCTTTTTAAATGTTCTTAACCTACGCTACCATATCTGGGGTTTTTTAAATGGCGCACTTGTAAACCTCAAATCAAAGAAGATATAAATAAGAGCCACTATAAAGACCTTTATCTTTTACCCAAAGAAGCTAAAATATATCATTTGATATACTTTCCTTCACTAAAATGCAACACCATGTCAGGTTACAACGTGTTGGCAGCGTTTAGTTTATGCAGAGCTTTTAGTAAACCCGGTGCATGTTTGGTGAATTTGTTCTAAATGCAGCGCATGTGGCATTTCGTTTTAGGGACAGAACTGCATGATGAGGGTGCAGAAGTAAATGGGGGTTTGCAGAGTGTGTGGGGGAATGCACACTTTCTCACTGTTTGATTTGCACCTGCAAAATACAGATAGGAGCGTTTCACAAGCAGGTCACCCCACATCCTGTGACACTTTAAGAGCGAGAATATTCATACGCTCTCTGCATTTAGTGTTAATCCTGATTTTCGAGCGAAGGTTTTGTAAACAACAGTGGTAAAAATGTCAGCGCTAATTCATATTGGCCTCTCACCCACACACATAGCCCACACACCACATCAAACTCACCTTTTTTAACAACCTGACCAAATTACTTTTGTATCATTCAGACAAAGTGCAATATGGGTCAACTCTCTCAAATATGATCGATTATCTGCCATGTGTAAACTTTTATGCTTTAACTTTCACACCACAATCATCTTCTCCTACATCAACATGTTATGTTTCCACTTGCTGTAACTTCATCTTAAGGAGTACAATTATTCAAAAGGGTTTTCGTCGTACACATAGGTAATTTGTGTAGTGGAAAGGCATGCTCCTGGGTTGTGCTTAAAGATCGGTGTTGGAAATAAGGGTTAGCCAAATAAAATCGTACACAACCATCATTTCGAAACAATCATACATTTATATGAAACATACACACATGGGCTTTACCCACTTTCCTTCCAAACTTGTTTTGAACTTATTTCTTTGATAACTTTTGACTGCTACACCATCAAGATTCAAGATTTTCAAGATTCAAGGCTTTTATTGTCATTCGTAAATAGCTACAGTGTAGTGATGTCGATGAAAATCTTAGGTCACGGGCTCCTCCAACAGTGCAACACAATAAAACAGATAAAATAGTGCAAGTAAATACAGATAAAATAGAATAGAAATAGTGCAATTACTTTTAAGGGCATTTTATTTAAGGGGATCTTCAAATAAAAATATTCACTTGTAAACTTAAAAAAGAGCAGATAAGATTGGACTAAAAGTGCATGAAAAGGCTACTGTATTTCCTCTAAAATACATTGAAAAATAAATAGCAAACTTCACAATATAACGGCAGTAGTTTTCAACTGCATGGTTTTACTTTCTTCTTTTAGGATAGAGCAGCAGAAAAAAGGAAAGAAGACAATGCCAGCTGCTATGATTTTGCATCTGTCATTTGTTCGTAATTTAATGTAAATGTAATAACATACCTTATGTGCTGTTGGTATTCGCACATTCGAAAAAAAATGGTTGAATACATCATTTTATATTGCCAAAATATAAATCTATTATCGTCTCCTTCGTTAAAAAACAACAACTCCATAACTCAGTTTGTGAATAATGTTTTGCACTAATAGTCTATAAAAATGTATACATTACCTAGACAAAGACAGCTCAGTTGGATGATTAAAATGCATTTCAGCAGCTTCATGTTGTTGTCAGAAAGGGGGAAACAGCTCTATTGTCTCTAGACAAACAGTTGGCACTGAGTGAGGCTTCCTCTCTTGTTTCCTCTCTATCTGAGTGACAGCACTTCCCATTTAACGCAGAGCATCATGATAGGAAGTGAAGCCTGTGTGGCTTTGTCACTCACGCTTCATATCAGGACTCAACCCACATACATCATTCTGACATTAACATCAGGAGTATTTTGATAATAAGTGCTCTCTTTATTAAGACTAGACACTTTGAGTTATGACATGACAATGACATTATATTTGTAAGAAATATTTTAATATGTAGGATTCTATTTACCCTGAACAGCGCGACTGAGTCCAGAACAATGATAATAAAACGGAATAATACAATAACCAACTAATGGTCGAGCTATTCAATTCATAAGATATGGGGGGAAAATGTTTGCCTGAGCTACAAAATGTCTCACATTAATTATGACATTGTGTATATACTTTGGATTTTAAACTTATTTTCACCTTATTTGTGTACGTTAGAATTTATATAAGCCCTCTCCACTTTGAGTTAAATATAATTGTACGATTTAAAACTACATTTATCCACAAGGGGGCGACTTTACATCAAGTGTATTGTGGTGCCTGTTTCAGCCAAGATTTCATACAAATGCACGATGAAATTCCGTTGAACCCCCCTCCAAACATTAAATGTTTAAACAAATACTTCAATATTTTAAGAGACAATTGAATACCACCAAAATAATAGGAAATAAAATAGAACAACTTTTATTAAATTAAAACAAAATTACATTTTCGAGTGAAATACATTTGTTGCGTATATACAAACATTAATACGTTGAAATATCTAGATGTATTCATACATTTCATACATATACATATATATATACTACACTGTCTACACATAGTCTACATATGCCAACATATGTACAACATACGTACTAGAGTTAAAAATATAAATGCGGCTCGTATTCTAAAGGCTGATAACAGACATTCCAGAAAAAAGCTAAAAAATAAAAAGGATTTATTACCTTAATTTATGCAGAGGAGATGTAAGATGTATATGGTCTGTTTTTAGGACTTTTGCCATGACCCTGTGCAGCTCCGTTGGATCCCTCACACTGACAGCTCTGACAGCTGCCTGCTTTGTTTACATCCGGCGCCAAGAGCACGCGCTCAATTATTCTTGCTCTCCTATTGGCTGTGCTGTTCTGTAGCCCCGCCCACCACAGAGAGACCGGAAGAAGCAACTGACAGAAACAAAAGAATACATGTTAATTTAAGTTTCATATCTTTTTTACAAGTTTACTATTACAATAAAGACTTAATAATACTCAAACCAAACGTTTTATTTAAGAAAATAAACACTACCCTAAGGTGTGTCTATTAAGTTGCTAGTTTAACGTTAGTTAGTGAACCAACTCCTCTTGCCGCGTTAAGTAGGTTGAAATAAAACGAATAGAACAGCATAAAGTTAATGACTACACAATCACAGTAACTTGTCTATAAGTTATACGTGAGCCTATTTTAATTTCTAGTTAATGTTCGAGGTAACGAGCTGTCAGCTTTAGGGTTGGGAGTATTTACACACATGCGCAATCTGCCGCAGATGATCATTTGTTGGCGCCAGCGCCAACTGGAAAGGAGTTTAATTTGGGCTCGGAACCGACTCGGTAAGCTGCAAACATTACTGCTCCTGAAGAGTTAGCTAGCCTCTTTAGCTAAGAGTTGTACCTTTACAGTTCTGGGTCATTCAGAAGTAAGTTATTGGCAAGTGTGTACGTGTATGCTACAATTAAAGCTGTAGTTTCTTTGTTATTTTATTGATAGTTTTGTAAACTCGGTTGTTGTCGAGCTTGTAGGTAGAGTTGTTGTGGTTTTTATCAAGCTAGCATCAAAGTTAGCAAATATTAGCTATATATAAGTAGTCCGGTCAACAGTGGTGACTGTTTTTGGGAAATATGTGGAGAGCAAACACAGTTTGAATGAGTCCTTTGCTGTCTGTTCCTGGTTTGTAAAGTTGGATATTAATGCGTCTAAATCATGAAGTAACTAACTATACATATCACGAAAAAGTAAAACAAACCGTAACATATCGGTTGTTTAATAGTTGTGGATTGTGTACTTCTCTGTTAGTACTGAATTCAAGTCATTTTATCACTGGTACTACTCAAAATGTCCTCCCCAGGCCTTTGTGTTGCTGCTAGAGTAGTGGCTGTTTGGGGGGGCTTCACTGCATGTTTCTTTGTGGTGTTCACGGTCCTTTGTAGCATTAAACTGCAGGATCTTCAGGGCTCAAATATCTCTAAAGGTCATATCAAGTGTCTTAAAGTGTGCTTTTAGCAGCAGATTCGCTGGTGTTTGCTGTAGAGGGGCTTATTTTACGCGCTCACTAATAATGTTGGCGCGTAGGATGAGATTGAAATGATGATGGTATGTAAATGTGATTTCAACGGGCTTGGTTTTGAATGAATCTGTTTGTGCAAGATTGCTGCAGCTGGTTGAAACTGTTTTCATCTGAGGGCCAACTTCCTGGTTAACAAACACTAACGTTGCTTCTAATAATATTATTCTTTTACAGACCGCAACTTCCAAAACCATGTCTAGACGAAGGTAAATACCCATTGTGTTGCTATATGAATTATTATGTATGATGATTAGTTGTTCTGTTGTCAAATCGACAACTCCATGTTGAGTTCAGTGTGTTTTCTTTGCAGTGGTCGCCTGCAGAAAAGATCTGAAAATGCTCCAGGGAAGAAAAGCAAAGTAACTAAGGTAATAAACTAATCATTTATGAGGCTACAGAACAGTTTTCATTAGTTGTTATAGACACAGAGATCGGACATACAACTTATTTCTTTTCTTTTCAGCAAAGCAACAGAAAAAAGATCCAGCCCCTGTCAAAGCTGCAATGTGAGAAGGTATGCCCCTTTCTTTCTTTTATTCATTCATTAGAATAGATTCTACTTAAATGTCATTGCACAGAATACAGATACAAAGAAATACAGTTTAGCTTCCAACTCAGAGTGCAACATGGTTTTTAAGTGTTGAGTAGTTCACATATTATATCTATTCAGAATGTGGAATAAACTGTAATGGGTATGTATATGTTTAATATATACCATGTGGACATATCAAGCTATGCAGGCATTAGTAAAGCATATAAAGTGCAGTGTGTAAATAGTAATACTAACAGTACACTTATTTACTGGATAAACAGCTTGAGGTATGATATGAATCAGTGTTTATGCTATACATACAGTGATGTAAACACACTAGTGGACAGTAGTGTTATGTATGGTTTATAAAATGACAGAAAAGAAAGCAAAATGTCAATCCGAAGTACAAAGGGAAGTCTTAAAATATCTTGTTTTGTCAGATTAAAAACCAAATGTTATCTATTTGATGAGATATGATATAACGGCAGGACATCTCCACATCTAAGAAGCTGAAACCTTGTTCTTGGACAATTAAACAAAGTGATGCACTGTTTTCTTTGAGTAGAATTAGGAGCAAAGAGTGCCATCAGGGATTCAAGAGAATAGACTACAGTTATAAAGAGCCAAATGCTTCTTCCTCCTCCAAGCATATCATTTTCTTCAAGACCATATCAGCATTGCAGAAATATCTTGTGCTGTTTCTATCTCTATGTTGCCTTCAATGTTCTCGTTTCTATTTCAGAACTATACAGTACTTGAGTGCGTGGCTGAGCCTTGTGTTCTCATCAAAGCTGCTGTGAGGGGAGTGGACTGCGAGGCCGTTCTCACTGCCACACACACCCTGGTTCAGCCGTCCCCTCTGCCTCCTCTTGGGTGAGTTTCATTTACTATTCAGCCATGGTTTGACTCGTAATTATCTTCTGCCAGACAGTTTAATACAGTCATTTAAAACCCCCCGACATTTTTATTTATTGTAATGTCACAACATGAACATGTTCACATTTGATGGACTGGATTTCTTTTTTGGCCATTTTTACTTACTGTCGAAAAGTTGCCCATTTGTATTGAATTGGTTAAAGACCATTGTTGCTCCTCCCTTCTGTCTGCGTGTACAGATGGGGATCTCCTGAAGACGTGTGGGTGAAGATGGTGGGCAGGGAGCAGAACTACACACACAGCAAGAGCTTCATGCAGAAACACCCCGCGATACAGCCCAGAATGAGATCCATACTGCTCGACTGGTTAATTGAGGTACGTCGGCAAATGAGTCTTAACAAAACACACAAACATGCTCCATGAAATATTTGTCACAGTTAAAAATGTATGTCTAGACTAGTTGTAAATGCATCATTAAAAATGTACAACATTCTAACCCAATTAGTTATTGCCTGTGTGACGTCCGTCCATTGTCCCATCTCCATAGGTGTTCAAGCCTTGTTTGATATCTTGATTACCGCAATTTAAAATCAGGCTGCTAAAACACCGTTTTATTTGACCAATTATGATATGTTCCCCTAATAGTATAAACTTGAAACAAATGTTGAAAAAGTCATGCCATTTTCTTTACTCTAGAACAGGTTTTAACCTTCTTCCTTTTGTCGTTGTCGCCCCAGGTGAGTGAGGCCTACACTCTGCACCGGCAGACGTTCTACCTGGCTCAGGATTACTTCGACCGCTTCATGTTGACGCAGGACAACATTGAGAAGAACATGCTGCAGCTCATCGGGATAACCTGTCTCTTTATAGCATCCAAGATGGAGGTAAGGACCAACAGGCAGGCATCAAAGCATTGCAACAAACTAAAAAGTGCAGCAGTGTGAGAACCAATATACTTGATGGCATCACAACTGTATTTGATTTGTACATACAGTATAACATGCTTGTTCTTTAAATAATGAAGCCATTTTCCTGTCTTTGTAGGAAGCCTGTCCTCCCAAGCTCTCACAGATGGCCTATGTGACTGCAGGGACTTACTATGAAGAAGAGATCCTGCAGATGGAGCTCATCATTTTGAAGGTAATACTATAATAAGTATATCCACAGTTTGACTCATTATTCTTAATTTGATATTTGCCTAACTCAACTTGACCCATTTCCCTCAGGCACTGAAGTGGAGCCTTTGTCCTGAAACAGCCGTCTCCTGGCTGAAGCTTTACTTCCAGGTGGCATCCATGAGCACAAACTCTGACCTGCTGGAGTCGCAGTTTCCACAGGAGGCTTACGTGCAAATGACACAGGTAGGTGTTCCCGTTCGTGTTATTTAAGCACACGTACTGACACAAATCCGTCTCACAGTTGAGTTAAAAACATGTGGCTCATGTCTAATGTGGTTTTCTCTTGTATTTTTGTGTTTCCCAGCTTTTAGATTTGTGTATCATCAACATAAACTCTCTGGTCTTTGAGTATCGAGTGTTGGCTGCCTCGGTGCTGAGTCATTTCATTCATCAGGAAACAGTGGAGAAAGTTTCAGGTAAGATTCACATTGTGTCAGAAGGAGCTGAGGCACTTGAGTGTATTGTGGTTGTTATTCATAAGACGTGACGTTTGTGATCCATGTTCTGACCCACAGTGTGTAACCATGTGTACTGTGTGTCTCAGGTCTGTGCACACACTCCCTGCAGCAGTGTGTGAGCTGGATGGCCCCCACTGTGGAGGCACTTAGCTTTTTTGGCAGAGCGGCGCTGAGAGACTTTGTCAGTATAAAGAAAGAAGACCGACACAACATCCAGACGCACCTGGACTACATGAGCATGCTGGTTCGTGTATTCTGCTGAGATATTGCATTACATTAGTTTGGCTTCTTCAGGTGATTTACAATAAGTACATTTAGCCTCCTTAAGAATAGGAGCTACATTCTTTCCAGACAAACTAAGAGTGGGGTTTTCTACAATCATTAACACAGATGGTTAACATTTAGTACAATTTTAAATAAACTGTTTAACAGTAAAGAGATCTTTTTTGTTAAGAGTGACTCTTTATGACTAGATGTCCCCATTAGGGCTGCAAAAATAGTCATGTTTATTTATCTAATCTTTTGGTTAATGGAAAAAAAAAGTCAATAATTTCTTCAAACAGCTATATCTTTTAAACTAAAACTCAAAAAGATTCTGTTTATTGTGATATGTGACAAAAATCAGGATTAGGATTCAGGAAAGCCTCTACCATTCGTCTTAAATGAATTATTAGTTTGATATTAAATAAACTAAATCAGGGGAACTGATGTATGGTGTGCATTCTTTGGAGTTTACACCAATGTAACTCAAGGGACTGTTTTAATAGAGCTGTATCTTTAACACATCTCAAAGAAAACTGCCATAACACAAGTACATTTGTTTTGCTGCAGCTATTCTATTGGTTTCTGACTTTTTTACTCGTCTTATTTCAGGAGGGCGTCAATCAAAAGGAAGTGAGCGGCCAGTTCCTCACTCCGCCCAGCAGCACAGAGAAGAGCGTCTCACACTGAAGCTCAAGAGGAAGACTCTGAAGAGTGTGAACCAAGAGGGCCGGGGTTCAGGTCCCAACCAGAAGAGCTCGAGTACTGGAAACCACTCCAAAGCAGAGGCAGACGGACTGTGAACCCGAACACTGAAGAGTTTACTCCACGCCTGCTGAACTCAAATGTCTCTGAATGCATTATCCACGGTCTCTCTAAAAATGATTGGCCAAAGCTTTTTTTGCTTGATTTTAGCAACTGGGTGCTTTAATTCAGAAATGCATTTTTTTCAAGGAGTGGAATTGTCATTTCTAGGAAATGAAAGTGATGTGCAATTGTTTACTTTTGTAGCATATGAAATATGTTGGTAGTCAGCAGATCAAATCTTTGAAACACTGCTTCAGGGTCAGATGAAATGTGTCATTGTTTTCAAATGGATGACTTTGTAGCTTTTTATGAACCTTAATGAAAGCTCCAGCTGATTAAGACATTGTTGCTGATGTGATCCAGCCTTTGTTTGTGTGACTCAGGGCCATGAAGAGTCAGTGATTTATGTTCTTATTCTCATTTTAAATGATTGCATGTGTACAAATGAGCAACTATTTATTTTAGAAGTTTATTTTCTACCACAAAATAAAAAATGTACATTCCCCACCCCCCCGTCTGACAGTGATTCACACTCTCCTAGAAGTAGAGTTTGGCCATGGCCTGCAGGAACCTCTTCTTCCTCTTCTGAGCGGCCAGCAGCAGCACCTCCTCGGGGTTACTGGTGTTCAGCTCCGTCTGTCCGATCGCTTTGATCTGAGGGAGGCAGGACGTGTTATTGTAGCCTCTCTGAAAGCATACGGCTAGGTGATCTGCAACATTTGGTTGGAGTTTAAAGTTTTGTATAGCATATTACACTTCTTTCAACAGCATTTTAAACCACTTGTTTCTGTCGATAGACATGGTAGAGAACTGACTTCCAAAACCCCATTTTAACAACATTTAAGTTAGATTTACTTTATTGATCGCACATTGGGAATTTTTACATGTTTCATGAGAGCTAAAATAATGCATTAACCATGGAAGACACCCGCTATCTGAAATATAGATAATATCTGAAATGCATCGAGGGAACACTTTATTCCCTCGATGTTGGCTATCAAAATGACAGCAACAAACTTGATTCATATTTAAAAAGATAGATTTAACTCTAAAGTAGTCGAACAGCAGTTTTTATATATACAGCCTGGTGTTAGAATAAACCTGATGTAATCCACTGAGGTTTGAACTCCTTACCGCTATTTGTCTCTTCTCCGTCTCGCCCCGCTTGTGGTGAATATCTCAACACACTGTCAAGGAAAAGGGAAAAAATGGACCTCGTAACAGAAGGTTTCTTAAAAACAGAAAGTAAATTCAACTGCATATGATATAGGGCAGTTCAGAATCATTAACAGAAAGGATACGGGTGAGGTACTCCAGGATGGTGACATCCCAGATGTAGTCATAGAACGAGTCCATGGCATCGTGACTGTGGGGACAGATGAGGACGTGAGAGGTGAGAGGAACAGTGCTTTCGGTCTAAACGGTTGGGTGTGTAATGTCGTACCTGTTCTGTTCTTGAAGAGCTTTAAATGCCGTCATGTAGTCCACCTCTCGCAGAAACTGACAGAGAACAGCCACCTGAAAAGGATAAGAGGTAACAGAGTTAAACATGGAAAATCAGGCGCTTAAGGTGGGGTAGGTAATTTTGAAGAAACCAGCTCTAGTGTGCTAGAATTTGAAAATACACAACCGGAAAAAAATCTGCCACTTCCTCACAGAGCCCCTCCTCCAACACACACGAACGCGCACATGACCAATGAGGACACGAGATAAGTTTGTGCACAGGTGGAAGGCTGGCAGGCAGGTAGGCCATCCAGTTATTTTAGCCGGGCCGGCTCAGATGATTGGTCGTGCTTTTTACAGTACTACGGCTTCCACAGATGAAATGTTTTTATGGATTTTTTGTCAAAGCACTTCAGATATTCATTGCTATCGGGATGTTAAGAGCATTCCATGGAATATAACAAAAAGTGTATCTCGAGCCGGTTTCTCAAACGTACCTACCCCACCTTTAAAGGCAGATTCAAAATGGAAGAAAACAAAGTGTGCACTGTACTTTGAAACAAACCATTTTTACATCAGGACGTTAAGATTCTAAAGCAATTAGCAGCTGCAATTAATCTTAGGAAAGGGGAGACTGGATAACCTCTGACCTGTGTGTGGCAGTTCATCATTGAACAGCACTTGATCATCCTCTTCAGGACCTGCAGACAACAGAGAGTTAATACAGGATTCATTTCAACATAGTTGTGCCTGCAACTGACATTTTTATTTTCTGTGGGTTTGCCTTAACTCAAATCTGAAGACAAGACCATTTTGAAACAGTTGGCTGAGAAGTGTTTAGTAACTATATTCAGTATTTGGGCACATGGGACTACTGTTTCCTATGTATTGGATTATATTATAGAAGTCCCATGTGCCCAAATATTTAATATAGCATGATAAAGAAATGGCTGTATCAATTTACAAAGAGCACATGACCTAATAAAGCTCAATATAACACACATTATGCAGTGTTAACTTAATATTCGATATGGAAGACGAATACGTTAATTATAGACTTATAATGGAATAAATAAATTAGCATTATATGAAAATCCTGACTATTTCTAAAAGTGTGATCCTGGCTAGATTTCAAGATCCATCACAAAACTTGTGTGGCTATTTTTCTTCTCATACTAGATTAGGTGTTTGTGCACGTATGGGATCATGTTATTTAACAGTAGAACAGTGAATAAAGTATGTTTAGTAGTGATGGCAGTTTGACACTGAAGCTTCGAACGGAGCTTCAACCCTGGACTTCCTATTCCATAGAAGCAGTGCTTCGAAGCTTGCTTCAAATCACGTGACATATGACGTCCGAAGCAGCAACTGCTTCAAATCACGTGACATGTGACGTCCGAAGCAGCAACTGCTTCATTTCCTGAATGAATCACTTGACTGGTTCGCGGTCCATTCACGCGATTCAATGCTCTGCCTCGTCTCGATTCTGACAGGTGACAGGTTGAAACAGATTCAAACTTGAGTGCTTCAACACTTTATGACCGCTCTAAACAATGCACAATGTGTGGGTTGTTGTCGTAGTTTGCGTTGTTGCTGTTGAGTTGTTGTTGTTATTGCATTTGATATCATTATAGAGCAAGCCAGGAAGTAAGATAGGTCGTTCTGGCTCGGGAAACACTTCGAAATGTGGAGAAGTTGTGAACAAAAAGACAATTATCAGTAATATGAAAAACAGTTAAATATTTCAAGGAATAGATAGTCCAGTGGGTACAGCCGGCGGCCCGAATGCGGCGATGTCCTCCGCGCAGCTGGTTCAAATCCCGGAATGGACGTATTTTAATCATTGCTTTTCAACTTTAATAGCCTAACTGATAAAAGGCCCTCTCCACCCAAAAACATGTCTAGCACTCTCTAGTCTCTTCTCAATAACCCAATACACACAATTATCAATCTTTAATTGCAAATAGAACATGATATTCAGTCTTAGTGTGTGTGTGCATCGAATATTTTTCAAGGCAAAGACACGTTAAACACACTGCAGCCTTGCACTTCGCCAGGAGAGGTCGCTGTAACTGAAGCTTCGAGAAATGAACCTATTTCCGACACAATTGTCCAAGTGGTTCGACGCTTCATTCAAAGCTTCATTTTGCCATCACTAATGTTTAGTCTCATTCTTTTTTCTTTTATTATTGTAATTTGATCAGAGATAATGTATTATGTTGTAGTATTGTAATTAACATTTTAAAATCACTGTTGATTTGTTCAAAAATGATCTAGCTGTTCATAGTGAAAGTCTGAATAATGTTTTCTGCGTGTACCTGGTCCGAGTAGATGTCGGGGGCCACCGTTTTGGTGAAGAAGTCTGAGCACACGGCTCCGGCCTGGAGGTAAAGGTTCAGAGCAGCAGAGTACTGATTGGTCACTGGAAACAGAGAGACAAGAGCAGCAGGCTTCAGGGAAACTGAGACGTGAAATATAAGGACACACTTCTGACTGCAGATGTCACTGCAGGAACAAAGGCTGCTGGTCTGTTCTCACCAAAGTAGATGTCTGCCTGTGTGATGAGCCACGACTGGTTGTTAGGGTTCAGGGTGAGGGCGTAGGACACCAGCTCTTTGACCGTCACCGCCACAGCTTCCACATCCACTGCCTGGATGCTGGTCCACACACACAAAGTACATTTAGAAGCCTTGTTCGAGAAATTGAAATATTTCATTAAGAAGACAAATAGTTCTTACTTTAGCAGAGTAGATGGCCAGATGGTGAGGTGTTCGGCTGTCACTTCATTTACAATATCATCCTAAAGAGGGAGGAAACCGTACGTTACCCAGGAGAAAACCAGTGATACTGTAAGCAGTTTAGAGAACAACTCTGTGTCCTGCAGAAAAAACTTACATCATAACATGGTATTTGTGCACATGGTGCAACATTGAAGCCATTTTCAATTTGAGTCCCTACTAGTGTTTACTAGTGTCTTAAAGATTAAACGGCAACAACGTCAGCTGATGATCAACCTGCAATATTCTCCATAAAAAGACAAGACTCAAATCTACACTGAACAAAAATATAAATGCAACACTTTTGTTTTTGCTCCCATTTTTCATGAGATGAACTCAAAGATCTAAAACATTTTCTATATACACACAATAACCATTTCTCTCAAATATTGTTCACAAATCTGTGATAGTGAGCACTTCTCCTTTGCCGAGATAATCCATCCCACCTCACAGGTGTGGCATATCAAGATGCTGATTAGACAGCATGATTATTGCACAGGTGTGCCTTAGGCTGGCCACAATAAAAGGCCACTCTGAAACGTGCATTTTTGCTTTATTGGAGGGGTCTGGGGGGGTCCGAAAACCAGTCAGTATCTGGTGTGAGGGGTAGGGTTAGGGTTAGGGTAATGTTGTGAATCGAGTGGCCTGTGTTCGTCGTCCATAACATAACCCCACCACCACCATGGGCCACTCGATTCACAACATAACCCTACCCCTCACACCAGATACTGACTGGTTTTCGGACCCCCCCAATAAAGCAAAACTGCACGTTTCAGAGTGGCCTTTTATTGTGGCCAGCCTAAGGCACACCTGTGCAATAATCATGCTGTCTAATCAGCATCTTGATATGCCACACCTGTGAGGTGGGATGGATTATGCAGATAATCCATTGAAAGGGATCAGGGTAACTTTGGGTGAAGGGTGAACCCACAATCCTACGCTGTCATTGGAGGCAGTCGCAATTTCTACAGGCTCGCACTACCTGTTAGCATCTGGCATCTGTTAGCATCTAGCTGTCCTGCTTACAAACTTTTAGCCATCCCTGCTTATACAAGTAGTAGTTTTAGTTGTCTGCGATCTGCGGAGGCCTACTCCCACCTGTCGAGTACGGCTTTACTGAGGTGTTTTTCCTCCGGAGACGTCGCGAAGAGACGGAGCGGCTCCATCTGTTGCTGCATGCAATCTGCGATTTACGGAGACCTGCTCGTCGCGAAGAGACGGAGCAACTCCACCTGTTGCTGCCTGCGATCTGCGATCTACGGAGGCCTGCTCCCACCTGTAGAATACGGC